AAAAAGAACTTCAACCTTAAGTTCCTGAATCTTCGGTGCTCAACTTAAGGCCACCTTGACATCATGAACAGGCACCATGAACTGTGTTTTTGGAGGTCGTTGCAGGCATCCCTGACATCTTAGCTCGTTGCGGTGGAACAACGGACCTGCAGGTACGGATGAGAGCGACAAGCTGCCAGGCGGGCAGCTCGAGCTGTGTGGGCTACCCACACCATCCATGAGACTTAAAAAACAGCCAACTGATCCATAAACCATGGTAAACCCCTGGATGGTATGATGGAATATGATGGGAATCTCATCCAACATTCTATCGCACACGTAGGCTTTGGTTGGAATTTTGGAGCACATTTTTCGATGGATGTCCGGCGAAGAGTGTGGTGCTTGTCGGGGTCTTCCAAGGATGCAAAAACGAACGAGTTCGCGCACGGCCAAGAATAACAGTGCTCCCAACCAAGAACAAGAGCAGTTTCCCCTGTGTGTTTAAGGTTTTTTTTCCAGAATCTATCTATCTAGTCCAGCATGACATGTGAAATAGCTCAAGCCCCCGGAAACGTGATGTGTTGCTGTACGGAAGCCCTTGGCCGATACGCGGGGTTCCTGCATGGTTGTGTTCACTATGGTTGTGTTCGGCCTCTTTTTCTGGGTGGGATGGGAAGATCGGAGTTGAAGAGGAGGGGAGTGAAACAAGCTCCAGATTGGGCGCAAGTTGGTGAAGAATTCAGATTGGGCCACTGTGTCATTCGACCCAAAGAAATTGACCTGCTGTCACAATGTGAGTCCAGACTCTCCCTCCGTTCGACATTGGGCTATCTCAAAGTGTCTCAAATGTTTATATATATATATACACGTGCTTTGGATTTTAGGACATTTGACATACATTTGACCTGCTTTGACATTTCTTTATTGGCCATAGTTGGTTGCATGGAGCGTCATGACAAACCAAATCAACATACTATTAGAATTATTGGCTTGTGATGCCGCTGGTGGCACTCGTGCAAGGGCAAGAGAATCCCTGGACGATGGCAGATGGATTGGCACCTGGGGACGCAGGAGATGGTTTGGGGGGGACGATAAACCCAGGAGATGGCTCCCTTTTCGGGAAAATTTGCGCAGGGTGCTGAGTGGTTGCAGCACCAGCCAGAATGTAGGAGAAGAACAAGCGGGAGTTCGCAGCAATTGGTGCAGCATATGCAAGTGGTCATCGGTTTTGCTCTGGGACTTTGTGGCAAATGCAGCTCAGTGCTGAAACTGCAAGCAGTTTGTACAAATCACGAATCCCATCTGGTACTTCAGGTGGGGCGCGGGCTGTCTTTTGTTGCTTGCTCACTGATGGTCAGAAAAGGAAGGATCCTGATCCTGTTCTTTTTTTCCAAGAGCGGTTTCTGTTGTCCACAAGGTTCAGAAGTTCCAAAGAGGATAGGGGTGCCCATTACTCACTGTCACTCACTGCATGGGTCTAACACAACCTCTTTTGGAACTCCAAGATGATGTGTGTTTTGAGTGGTAACATTTTGTGTACCTAAGCATAGCTGTATAATATTGGTTGCTATTTTCTCCGATATAGAACCCATATGATCCTGATTTGCCCTCTACTCCTTTGCCCCGTACTCCTTATGTTTGGCTGCCGGCAGGCTAGGCAGGCGATTGGCTCCTTATGTCTTCAATCGGTCGCTTTCGGTCGCGTGTCCAAGGTTTGGGCAGTGTCGCTCTTTACGTTGATGGGCAACAATGTTTGGCACACAGCTTTCGGGTTTGACGTGCCAGGGAGGAGAAGCGGGGCAGCTACTGTCGTACCCTCAATCATGAAGGGAGTGTTGCAGCTACTGGGCAGCTACTGGCGGTCAGTGAGTCAAGCAGTCGGTGAGTTGTTTTTGAATTGGTTTAGTTTGTCCTATATACTTTTTTTGTTAAGTGATTCGGTTGGCTAGCCAGTTGCTTGGTTTGTTGGTCAGCTAGCTGCACACTTATCAGGTAGGTAGGTCACCATGTAGCCAATCAGGCCGGTAGTTGGTTGGTTCACCACTCAAAGAAAGCTGTTGCGCGAGAGTCGTGCGGACGAATCGGAACACCTTTGCTGTAGAGTCAGTGAGCCGAAGGTCTTCGGCGATCATGGGAATGTGGCCATTGATATATAGCAGGGAGAAGCTAAGTTGATCATCATCCATGAATCATCATGACGTGTTTAAGGACAGTTCCATCGGTTCTTGGCCCTGAAATCGATTGAGAAGGGATGACACCTCCAAAACAAGCGTGAAGGCCGTTTCTATAAAGTTGTGGACTTTGTGTACTTGACAGACAATTTTGGATCAACAGGACCACTTCGTTTAAAAGCACAACAAAAAGCAAAACACATATAGTGTGGTGTACACATAGCTTGAAAGAACATTTGAGCAGATGACCTGATTTCTTCTGTCTACTTCCCGGATTCTTCCACTTCCCACTTCTTGGTGAGTTCAACTCCGCCCAGTCCCGAAACGCCACGAACTTCTTGGGGCAGGCGAGGAGCGGCGTCGCGGTACGCCGCGTCGCGGTATGCCGCGTCGAAGAAAGCGTAGGAGCCTTCTGGATGCACCAAGTCCCACCGCTTCGTGAGCCCAGAGCCAGCCAATAATGGCCGTTTGGGTTTTCGGGGGAAGCAGTGATTCGCAACATCCTGGAACGGGAAAGTCTCCTGTCAGTCTCGAGAAATCAGTTCGTTTTGAGGCCTTGTTTGGTTCACAAACGGCCTCGGTTGCTTGATTAATAGAGGTAATACCCCCGTTCGTGTACAACCAATAGTTCGATGGTGACATCGGCCGTTCTGTCTTCCCCATTTCAATCAATGGTGGATCTGGCTTCACCACGAAGAAGAAGAAGAAGAAGAAGCAACAAGTATTGAACAATCATTGCAGGGATCTTCTAAGGTTGGAAGCCATCGCTATGCAGGGGGAAGCCATCGCTCTTACGTTGGAGGCCACTACTATTAGGTTGGAGGCCCTTGCTCTTGGGTTATTAAAACAATTAAGATCAATTAAGAGTCTACATTAATTATCAAACAATCATTGCTAGGACCTTCTAAGAGATTAAGTGACCTGTTGAGATCCCAGGGTGACGTCACGACGCATCCCTGAACAGGTTATAGACAGAGACTCCAAAGAAATCGGCGAACTGAAGGTCCTGGTGATATTGATGGTTTTGATGCTTTTATAGTCTCTTTCATAGTTTCTGAATTCCCCCCCAATCATGGCTTCATCTCCCCTTCACCCTTCACGTGAGTTGCAGCCGCTGCCCCTCCCTCGCTTCCACCGTTCGACCCATCCCCACCTCGTACCTCGGGCACCCCCCTGGCTCCGATGTGTCAGAGGTGGTGGGGATTGTGGGTTTGCTGATTGCCCTTGGTCAGATCGTGAAGTCACTGGTCTGGTCAGGGAAGGGGATCGAACTAAGGGGATCTGAAGAGCTCGGGGATCTGAAGGGCAGCCACAGGTCTATCGAACACGGAACCGAACACGGTCGAACGGAAGTGGGGCTCATTATGTCGAAAGACCATGTCGTTGGTAGTTTGTGATGTTAGGAGGGAAGATCAGCCATGAGACGTTGGGACGTTGGTGCCATCAGTTTAGATTCCATCTTCCATGTTCCTGTTCATCCTTCTGAACCAAATGCATTAACAAGTTGGAAGTTGGGGACCTTCTGGGCTTCACCAAAGCAGCGCAGAACTTGCACAGATATTGGTTGCTTCAGTACGATGTGTAGGGGGCGAACCCGCGAACCCACGTGGCTGTGGGTGGAGAAGATGCGGCACTTGGCAAAGCCGATGTTTCCACAAAGAAAGGCCTTGCAAAAAGGATGCCTTTCGAGAAACAATCCCACACATGACCTGAGAAACAAGAGATAGCTTTCTGTATCTTGCTTCTTTAAGGTTTCACAGGTGTGAACAACGTATTTTTTTTTTTGCTGTGCCTATTATATATTATAAACAGAGAGAACAGTAAGCTCAACAAAAGTCGAACATGCTGTATTATTGACATATACTATACGTAATACGTTAGTACTATATACGTATAGCTATACTTGGATGGTACTACATGCCGGAAGGTGCAAGTGTCACCATCATGTCACTGACATGTTCCAGAAGTCTCCACTCCCGAGGATTGCCCCCATTTGTATCAATGCTGTGACCGGCAGTGGCAGCTTCGTTGGGCCGGGAACCTCCGGGCTTTGCGCGCGATTTGTAGAAAGACATCGGACTGGAAGGGACTGGGAGAAGGAGCACGATGGTACTTAGAATCGCTTCAGTACACTATGTCGGGATTCTGGCTTGTATCAGACTAAAAGACTGCATGGCTGCAGATGTCTTCATGCTCCAAAAGACGATATTCTTGTTTGACGATGATCCGTCATCCTAGCCTAACCAGGACTCATCTTCAATCTTCTCAGGACTCAGCAGTTATCCACATTTTTATGTGCAGAACACGCAGCAGGGCAGGCAAATGCCCTACTCACCAGTTTTTGCACCCAGGTTTGGAACGCATCTTGAGCACCTTTCGCTTCCCTTACTCCTTTGGCTTCCGTCGCCGCATCTAAAACGCACGTTCTACTGAGGCGTTATCCCATCGAGAGCAGGCATGGACTCCAATCGCGCCCGATCGAACAGGTTGGGCCCACCTCGATGGATACACCGATGGATTAGATGTATAGATCACAGAAATAATCCAGCTCAAATGCAGGGTTATACATGTACAGTCATTCTCACGGTGGTCCCTACTACATTTTGGCTCAAGGAGAAAAGAAGCCCGCGGAGCTCCCGCTGGGTTGTTTCGTTTGGGTTTCTTTGCCACTTAGCCTTTGGACCTGTTTTCATTGGGTTATCAGCCGTACTGGCTTTCCCCCTACATACTTTCCCTTACCATATATTCACATTTTACCCTCGCCCGCGCGGTGCCATTTCTGAAGTCTTCAGCCGATCCTTTGGTATTTGAGTTTTCTCGATACGCTTGGTTGATCGCGTCGACGAGTGAATGTACACGAGGCGTCCGAGACCGAGGGGCGGCAAGAGTGCGAAGCGTCAGAAGCGTCGGAATCAATTCGCACAGGGCTTTAGCAATCAGTTGGAGAACATCTTGAGTACCGCGGACGCGACTCAAACTTCTTCTGATCTTGGAGCGGCGCCGCAGATTCATTCGTCATCTTCGAGTTCCGGGGTTGTTGCTGTGCCTAAGCCGAGCGCTAGTGCTAAGTATCAACCAGCGAAACCTTCTCAGAAAGTGGGTCCTTCTTCATCGGTGCGATTGGTTGATTTTCCCGACAGTGCCTTTGTTGAAGAGATTTCATCGGAAGAGGAGGTTTCAGTGAGCAAGGAGGTGATCGAAGCTGGTGGGACGGAGAGTGACTACACCTCAGTGAGGCGGCTGAGCGAAGTGTCACGTGGTGTTGATCAAACAGTTTTCGACTTGCCGAGGTGGATTTCCGGAAGCGTGATTGTGAATAAAGTTGCATTTCGGGACGAGCAAGGCGAATTCTATCTTGATTCGGCGAGCGATTTGTTTGAGTCCTTGAAAGGTTGCGTGCGTGGTTCTTGACCTGTAAGACGGTGATTTTTCCGGAGCGACTTTCATCGAGAGATTCAATCAGACTTGCAAAACACCGGGGCGAATTCCAGACGATCGAACGGGGGACGCTGTCGTTTATCTTTGAGCTTCAGAGGAACGGGTTCACTTTTTGCGCGTGTTCTTTCATCGGAAAGGCGGCAAGTGGTGAGTACATTGAGGCTTTGATTCAGAGCGAATTGGCAGCAGTCATTCCTGTGATCTTTGTTATTTACAATCGCGATCAGAAGGCCAGTCTTGCAAAAGAGCTCAGTGCGGTAGCTGCGATTGACGATCAGAGAGAGTTTGTTCGGCAGTACCGGGATTCTGGTATCTTTGCGATTGAAGTCAGGCGCGATTTTGGAATTGCAACTCACAAAGAGGAGATCATTCGGCAGTTGCGTGATCAAGCTGGTGGTCAAGTGGATCGTGAGGTGAAGCCAAAAGGAGTCCCATCGGGTTTGGTGAAGGATCGCAAGTGAAGGGGATTGCAGGTGGAAGGGGTGCGTGAGTAAGAGATCATACAAAAGACACAATGTCAACAAATCAGACATCCAGTGGTTCGAGCGAATTGCATTTGGCAGTTGCAACAGTCGACCAATCCATGGTGAGTTCGGTTGGGGATGCATCTCAATCAACTAGACACCGTGACCTGGTTCCTAGAGCTAGGGATGATCACAGGGTAGCAAACCGCAGGTCGAGGTCCTTAGGTCCGTATCAAGCCTCGGATGGTGCCAGTGATGTGTCAGGATTGGAAGCTGGTAGATTAGTCCCTTTTGATTTGGATGAGGCAGAACATCCATTGAGCAGGGTAGGTAGGGTCCAAGATTTTGCCAATCCCAGTCAAGGTCAAGGTCAGAGGGTTTTGCATGCGCAGAGTGCAACCTTTGTTGATGCTAGATCAGTCGATGCCAGATCCATTCAAGTAGGAATTAGTCCAGAAGCAGCCCAACAGTTTGCCGATACAGTTCGTAGTGCCACAATTGCAGAAGCAGAGTCAAGACATCACCAAGTAGTTGATGAAGTTCGGAGGGTTTCCAGTCAAGCAGCTAGGAATGAAGCTATTGTTGAAGTTGAATCACGCCATCAACATGTAGTCCAAGACATGGCCAGAGCATCCAGGGAACATGTCCAAGATGTTAGTGCCCGTGTTGCTAGTGACGTAAGAAGCCAAACTTTAGCAGGGGCAGAAACCATTCACCAGAGGGTGTTGGCTGAAACCATCCAAAATGCAGAAAGGGTTCATGCCCAATCGGTTGAAGATGCTAGGAACCAAGTTCAACGCAGGGATGAGTCAGTTATCCTTGAATTGCAGAATCAGGTCGCGCATCTCACTCGTCTCAATCAGGAACTCGTGGGAAGATTGCAAGCGGCAGAGAGCAGCGGTTCATTCCGCGCCCTGCCCGCAAGCGGAGGTCAGGTTGGAGCAAATCCAGGGTTGGGACCAGCAGTGCAGAAACCACCAACACATCAGCATGACGAATCTTTTGATTTGTTCGGTGATGATGAGCCGGCCAATGCACAATCTGAATCCCATGGTTCTATCAATCAAGTTTTAGCTGTTCTTCAGGAGGAAGTCCAGACCTTGAGAGAAGAGATGAGTAAGAGTAAGAAAGGAAAGAGTAAGAGGAAGTCTACTCCATCCAGCGTGTCTGCAAATTCATCTTCATCATCGGATCATGACCCGAGTATGAGAACGAAAGAAAATCAATGCGGTTGAAGGCTTACGAGAAAATCAAAGTCCCCAATCTACCGAAGTCAGCTGCAGAGATGAGGACATGGAAAAATACACTGATTTCTCAACTGGTTGCATGTTGCAGAAGCAGCGAGAAAGAGTTGCTAGCATGGCTCAGTGGCCCTCTAGTCGGTGAAGAAAAAGAATCAGATGTTTTTCCAGTTCTCAATCGGGTCTTAGGATCTAAGTTGCTAGAGGTTGCAAAAGGTGGACGGTTTGGGGTTGATTTCCAAGCTCTTCAGGAGAGAAGTGTGCGTTTGGGAAAGCAAGTGCAGGGTCATTTGTTGTTGGGTCGAATTTGCCGAAAGTTTCGTCTCGACAAAGAGCGTGGAATGAGTCTGAGTCAGCAACATCTACTGGCGTTGAAGCCCCAGGGTGTGGAGATCAAGGATTTGGAAGTCTTCAGGGATTGGGTTGAATTCGTGCTGTCAAGCCTCGAAACTTCGGAGTATCCTAGTGAAGCAATCCTTAGGACTTGGATTTACGAATGCTTAAAGAATGTCCCAAAGCTAGCGTTGAAAATTGATCGGTACAAAGAAGCAAATGCTGGTGACCCTATCAGATCATTTCAATGGTTATGGCAATCCATGATTGACTGCATTGATGAATCACAGCATGATCATAATACCGCATCAATCCTGAATGCTCTTCGCTCTAAAGTCGATGCAGCAGCCGCTTCCGCAGAGCAAGACAAAAAGAAAGATAAGAAAGTCAAGAAAGAGAAATCAGATTCGTCCAAAGAAAAGACAAGTGTTGATGTTGCAGCTGCCTCGTCTTCAAAGGCTCCGCCCAAGGCAAAAGCCAATCCTAAACCCAAGTCTTCATCCTCAAGCCAAGCTAGTGGTAAGAAGGGGGGATAAGGATAAGAAAGACGTGGTTGCGGGTGAGAAAGGTACACCATGCCTGTTTTACCCAAGTGGCACTTGCAGGAGGGACCCATGCCCATTCGTGCATGACCCAGCCGCCAAAGCTAAGTCAAAGGCCAAGCCTAAAGCTAGTTCAAGTGTCGCTGCCGCATTTGCAGTTGCTGCAGGAAACCTGCCATCAGCCGCCTCAGCAGTTGTCCCAAGGATCGTTAAAGCTGTTGCGACGTCTTTTGCATTGATGTGTAATCCCGGCATTCCAACTCCTGACAATCAGGTCCAGTCATTGCCAATGCAATCGTGTGAGGTGCCGTTTACCAGCTTCAATGCATCGACCGGAGAAGTGACTTGGTTGGGTGACACCGGCGCTGGCCGCAACATTGGGGGGGGTTCGCCAAGTTGATCCTGAAATGATTGGACAATCCAATTTGCCAGTTACTTTCTCAACAGGTGGTGGGCGGAGAGATGGATCTAATTCTTGTAGAGTGGTTGGTGAACTTTCTGGGTCAAATGAGTGCTACTTGCTGGAAAACAGTCCATGGGCTTTGTCCATAGGTGATCAAGTTCGGCAAGGGAAAGCATTCGTTTGGTTGCCACGTGATAGCCATGATGTTTCTGAGGACGCTGAGCTGCCAAAGCCATTCCTGGTGAAGCCCAGTAACCTTAAGGACTTAAAGGTAAGTTGCCCAGAAGCATCCCGCTTTTACGCCAGTGAAGTTCGAGAAAACGTCCCATTGTTCAAAGAAAGGGTGAGTATTCTGCATATGCCCGGGGAGGTTGATGAAAAGAATGATTTAGGTGATTCGTCAAAAGCCTTAGATGAAGAGTCTGATGGGTATGAACCAAGCTTAGCACCAGAAGGCGCAGCAGCGCCGCCAGACGAAGAGGCTGTGGAGCATTCGTCGAATCATTCCATTTTACATCTTCCCAAGAGAGCGGATTGCCCCATTTGTCAAGAAGCAAAGCAAGACGCTGTTCCTGCTAGGCGTGTTAAAGGTGATCGAGTATTAACCGATAGCAAACCTAGTAAAAGCTTTGGGGATAGGATCCATGCAGACCACATCATCGTTGCTAAACATCGGTTGGATGGTTCTAAGAAAGGGCTGAAAGGAGAAACGAAATGCCTGGTTTTGCTTGATGATTTCACTAAAATCGTAATGGCGTATCCAGCAGCTACCAAAAGCACAGAAGAGTGTGTCAAGGCACTCAAGCATTTTGGTGGTAAACGTCCATTGGTGGAATTTCATGCAGATAATACTCCTGAGTATGAGTCGACAGCAAGTCAACTAGGTCTCGTGTATGATGCAACCGTCCCGTACAGGAAAACCGCCATCATCAATCGAGCCATTCGCACTCTCGAGGATGTCACCCGGTGTTGTTTAGTACAAGTAGGCAACTTCAATGAATTATGGCCGTTGGCGATTCGTTATGCAGCTTCGGCCTCAACCATTAGCAATTGGGACAAACTCCATGATCATGAATTTCCAGGTCTTCACATTCCTTTTGGTGCGTTGATCAGTTACAAACCCAATGCCCCTAAATCCAAACTTGGTGCCAAAACATCAGCCGGTTTGTTCCTTGGTTGGAGAATTGAGGCAGGGATCCAATGGAAGCGCACATATTTGGTTTGTGATGTTCAGAATGTGAAATCATGGTTGGAAGGAAAATCTGGTCTTCAAGTTCTCACTTCAATGGTTGTTGTGCAAACTGGTGAAGATAAATTTCCCTTGCGTGAAGCCGTGCAAAAGAAGCTAGAATCCTTGGAGGATTTACCTGTACTGCGTTTGGAGGATGATGTTAGGGCATTGGAAGAAGAGGTGAGTCGCGAGGAAGTTGAACCAGAATTAGACGACATCTTTGCAGACGATCCTTTGGATGAACCAAAAGTCCATTCCAAACATGAAGCCATTACTTTCTCCAGACTAATGCAATATGGTTTCAGTCCAGGTTGTTCAGCTTGTGAAAAGGGAAAGGGAATCCATACATCCAGTTGCAGAGAAAGATTTGATGGGTTAATCAGGGGGGGGTAAGTTTACACTTCCCAAGGGCATTGCAAAAGGTGTTGATTCTTGGAAGCTTGAAGGTGACCTGCTTACTCGATTCCACCATGTGAAACGCAAGAAGCTCTTTAATCCCTTATTGCCTGAAGATCTTCCAGTAAGTGCAAAAAGACTTGGAGCTAGAACCACCGAAGTTAAGTACTTTGAAAGCGGTGTCGAGGAAACAATCCATGATGAGCATTGGAGAGGTAACAACAAATCACTCAAGGAATTTTGGACAGGTCAGACAATCTTTCAGCTGCATCCCGAGGCATCGGACGTTCCTGCCGGAGCAGTCGAAGCAAAGGATGGTGAGCTGCAGGCTTCGCCGCGCCCCATCCAGTGTGGTAAGAAAGGGAAAAGACTTGCCCAAAAGTTGTTGCCAGCATATGGTGTTATGATAGAGTTTTGTTGTAGCCCACAATCTAATCTTGGAAAGGTTTCAGAGTCCGTAGGAGTAAAGCACACCCGTTTGACAGAAAGCAACGGAAAGGTTTCAGAGCTTGAAGTGCAATCTCAGCTATTGGAAGTGTTGGATTCGGATGCCATGAACGGTGTTGACCTTTGGGGATCACTACCATGCAACCCTTGGTCTAAATGGCAACACGTGAATTGCAAGAAGTTAGGTCCAGCATTCCGTAGGAAGCTAATGTTGAAAAGGTTGGAAAGCAAGAAACTCTTGAAATTTTTCTTCCAGTTGTCCGCAATAATCCTCAGGCGTGGTGGCAGGGTTCACTTCGAATGGCCAACAGGGTGTTCCGGCTGGCAGATTCCAGAGCTTCAGGATTTCTTCAACTCAAACAACTTTCAGCTTGCGCATTTCAATGGTTGCATGGTTGGAGGCGAATCATTTAAGCCATGGACAGTAGCATCAACAGATGACTGTTTAGTTCGCAGCCTGAGAACCAAAACATGTGACCATAGCCATAAACATGTGCACTTGTGCGGATCAAAGACACCAAAATCAGCATTCTATCCAATGCAAATGTGCGAAGGTATCATCTCATCATTGTTTCCCGAGTTGTATCACAAGTTCGTTCCTTGTATGAGTTGCGAGTCAATCACTGAAAATCCAGTGCATGTCCCAAAAGAAGTTGAGCTTGAGGGAATTCCCATTAGCATTCATGAGTTGATTGATAGGAAGGTCTGGAAGGACGACCCTGCAGCACTCAGTGAAGCTAAGAAGGAAGCTCAAGGTTTGATAGATGCGGGGACATGGGATTACAAGAATGTTGTCCAGAGGCACGAGCTCGAACACAGATCCAGGAAGTCAGGCACGAAGATTGCGATTGGGAAACTCATGACAATTATGAGTTGGAAGAATGCAGAATCAGAAAAAGACAAGAAACTAAAAGCTAGAATAGTTTTTCTTGGCAACAATGTGAGGGACGAGTTTGGTCTTGCAAGTGAATTTCAAGAAATCAAAATCATTCCCACTACAATTGCCGGGCTTAACATCAATTTAGCCTTCGGACTGAAGAGAGGAAACAAAACGACTCAATCAGATGTTACCAAAGCTTATATCCAAAGTGATCTTCAAACAGAACATGACACGTACATCGAACTGCCAGATGAGTTGATTCCAGATCACCTCAAATGGATGCGCAGACCATGCACAAAGCTGCACAAATCGTTGTACGGGCACCCCGAGTCAGGGGGGGCATTGGGGTTTGAAGTTCAAAAGCTTGATGACACAAATGAACGGTGTAGAGTCAGCATTATTTCCATCCAACTTTATCATCAAAAAGTGGGGCCTGTTGGTCACATTGTACGTTGATGACATTGTTGTGTCAGGTCCGAGTGAAAATCATCAATATTTCTGGTCAGAGTTGGAGAAGCATCTTCAATTTGAACCTCCGCAGGAAGTCACAAAGGTTCTAGGAAGAACACACTTGATTCAGGAAGGGGAAGTGCAGCTAGACATGCATGACTTTGCAGAAGTCGCCTGCAAAGTGTACGAACAGGAATGCAAAGAGTTCAAAGGGTTCAAGAAGGCCCCAACCCCGTATCTTGATGAAAGTACACTTCCTATTGATGATTGGGATAGCCAAGGTAGTCTTGCGAGTTCAGCCGCCAGGCTAATCATGAAAGCCTATTGGTTAGCTAGACTTAGCCGTCCAGATTTGCTACATGCATTGAATGAACTCAGCAAACGTATTACCAAGTGGAGCAGAAATGACGACAGAAGGTTGTTCAGGGTGTTTTGCTATCTAAATGGAACAAAGCACTATAGGATGAGGTTGAAACTTGATCCAGATGCAGAATGGGGTCTGTGGTTATTCACGGATGCTGACCATGCCTCAAAGGTAGACCACGGACATTCCACATCAGGGTCATTGCTCGCCATCGCTGGTGGAGGTTCATTCTTTCCTATAACATTTCAGTCCAAACGTCAAACAGCTTGCAGCCGTTCGACAACTGAAGCGGAAGCCATTGCATTAGCTAGTGCATTGTTCAGTGATGCAATCCCTGCACAAGAGTTCATGTCGCAGTTGCTTGATTCACCAATTCCTTTGACATGCCATCAGGACAACACTGCCACTATACAGGTGATCAGAAACGGATACAGTGCTCGCCTAAGACATCTTGGTAAAACACACAAGATAAATGTTCAAGGGTTGTATGATGCTTTCAAAGAACCAGACATAAGCATTCAGCACTGTCCTGCAGAACAACAGGCAGCAGACGTGTTCACTAAGAGCCTGGAAGTTCATAAATGGCAATCGGCCTTGGACATGATAGGAATTTTTGATCCAAGCAAAAGTTGAAATCACAACAAATGTCAGAAATCGCAACAATTGCCAGAAATAGATCCGACCCTTGTTGAGCCGACCTTGATTAGTTCAGGTGTTGCTTGGCCATTTTGGCCGCTCCTTGGTAGGAACCAAAGCTGCAAGCAGAGGCGCCGTTCGTTGCCCTTGCAGTGTGCTGCTGGCTTTGCCGCGCCCTGTAAGTGTATCTTTCGTGCCTTTATAAATTAGGTTGGAATATGAGATCAGTTCTCACAAATGAGAAAGTACTGTCACCCTTGTGCGACTGGAGAAGCGGCCAATGCACCCCGAGATACATGGCCAAACTCTTTGTACACAAGCCTTGCGTGCATAGTCCATATCATAATTTGCTTTCGCAGCAACCTAGCCTGACTTGCCTTTCCACGATGACCTGATCGTCACTTTCGATGGCCACGATGAGTGCTTGATCCAAACTTTCGATGGAGTGCCAAGTTTGTGTGGACACCACCCTTTCGAAGGAGGGGGGCACAGAAATAATCCAGCTCAAATGCAGGGTTATACATGTACAGTCATTCTCACGGTGGTCCCTACTACATTTTGGCTCAAGGAGAAAAGAAGCCCGCGGAGCTCCCGCTGGGTTGTTTCGTTTGGGTTTCTTTGCCACTTAGCCTTTGGACCTGTTTTCATTGTAGATGTAATAGATGTATATACCATGCATGTATAAATATATACTGTAGACTTAATACATATATATATATGTATAATATATGTATATGCAAATTACATGTATGTAATTTATATAGCATGGCAAGTGCCGTGGTTTGGAGGGGTAGCTCGGTAGATCATGGGTTCCTGCCCTTCAAAGACAAGTTGGAAGGAGGATAATAATGGGGGTCCATGTTCAGGCTTCTACCTATACTAAATCATCAACAACCAACGAACAGATGCCCAGTTTTTTTCGACTGCTTTGCCTGGGAAAAAGAGCCTTGGAACCCCAACGGTTCAACCTGTTCAACGGTTCAACGGGATCCTTTTGGTCAGATTCATGGGGAATTTCTTCCTTTCGTCACGTCCAAGACGGCTCTCATGTCGGACGGCGGCCACCGGGCCACCGGGTGTTCGCGCGGGTTTGGCATGGCGGTGCATGGGTTGGGCGGTGTGACCACCCAGGCACCATCGGAATCATGATGGTCATACCATCATCCTTGGAAGCCCGTGCGTTGCCTCAGAGATGCGAGTCGAGTGCGTTGACTGGAGTGCTAGACAGAGTGATCGAACAGCGCACCCCTGTGTGCGGAACCGCACTCCAGAGTATGACTCGAGTCAAAATGGTCAGTTCGATCTCATGTTACTGGAGTTGCTCATACAAAAACACTACTCAAGTAGGTCAGAGACCAGGTTTGGACCTGGGTCAGACCGGACCCGTAAGGCCAAGTAAGGCATGCGCTACTCCAGGCATGTGGACAGCTATGCCTCTGCTCGCTTCTTCGTTGGGTCACATGACATGTCCCAGCTTTCTAGAGGAATTGGTCCCATGACAAATCTGCCGCTCTGCCATGTGATGCGTTCGTTGGAGTCAGTCTCAGATGCTGAGTTTCATTGGAATGGGTCCGATTCACATGATTCACATGTCGCCAGGACGACATGGCGACCCGACTATACCCTACCCATTGCATGGTGTGTCAAGACAGAGTGATCTACCCTGATTCGGGCAGTTGCTCTTTACCAAACCCATGTCCACCCAGGACTGCCAAGACTCTCATCGAGTTCCTCTTCGAGGACTGACGTTCTGACCGGAGGACATGGAGAAGTGCCGTGCGGTTCCAGCAATGTGTGCCAGGGAACGCCAAACAAAAGCATGTCTTGTGGAATGAACTCTTGACTCTTGAACTTTGATGCAGGTAAGTCAGGATTATAATGGTAATTATGGATAGAATATGATACAATACACACAGAGAACACACCAATAACATGATGCATGCCTGTTTCTTTTCTCTTCATTTTTTTCACGGCTTCGAGCGTTGGGGCTACTGTGGCCAACAATTCGACCAATTGGTTGATCCTGGCCGCATGCTTTGTCAGTCCATCTCCAAGTTGATTTGTGGTTGTAGCCTTCTGGTCACTGAAAGATCCCTTAAGATGTCAACATGGGGTCAAACAAGCTACCGATGACCGATAGACTGCCATAGACTCTTGGGCCTTTGCTATCCCTTCAAAAGAGTTATCATGTCCTTGGATGCACACTGATGCATATTTATTGATATATATATATATACACACCATTATACACCTGATGTCAGATTGGGTGATTTATCGAGGGTATATACCTGCATCTTTGATCCCTGGTGTCAGATTCTTGTCACGCTCGACTCAGTACTACCACCTGAACCACTTTACCGGTGGCCTGGACTTCGAGCGCGAGGCGGGACTGAGGCGGCGGTGCAGAGTGGTGGTCTGTCCAGCGATCACCAGCGGATCACATCGTCAAGTTCTCCCAAATAATAGATTGATATAGAGTGTATAGATCAGAGTTTAAACATTAACTGCATACTAATGTTAACGAAGTGTCCGACTCAAAACCTCCAGTTTCACTGATCCTTTTTTGTTTCGACGGAACCGTCTCCGATCCCAGAACACTTGGGTTGGTTCCGAAGCCGTCCGGCTGCGAGGCGAGTGATGTGGTCGTCTTTTTGGAAGATGCCAAGGTCTTGGCCCATCTCAGAAGGTGCCATCATCAGACTGCGCTGTACGCCAACAAACAGACGACTGTCAGGTCATTGGTTGTGGGGGTGGTTGCATGTGAGTTCCAGGTGTTTGTTCTTTTGGTCGCTTGGACCGGTTGGAGGTGGTCAAGTCTCGGTACTGGGCGCTTGAACCAACTGGGCGCCCAACAGGAAGAACGAAGCGCTCGTTTCCTCTCATGAACGACTGCTTCGCAAAAAAAACACATTTTTTAATCGATTGGGTGAAAGGCCACTACTATCAGCACCATTCCTCAAGAATGTGCTGGGGGAGACCCTAGAAGTCGAAGCACCATTGATTTAATTGCCTGAATTTTGAACGGCCATTGTTTTAAGAAGGATTTTACAGTATACAAAACGTCTAGGGTATCAAGTACATGCATACCAACATCCCGCTATTGGTGTTTGATCCCCACGAGCGCTCCAAAGTGGAGGTACAAAAACAACAACTCCATGCGTTTTACTCGCGCTGTTCGTGGGAGGACACCGTTCGTGTGCCAAAAAATGGGAACACGCTCCCTGTTGGAAACCAGGTTTCGGAGACACCTGGTTTCCATTGGTTTCCCAGAATGGTGGGAAAATCTTTGAAAGAAGCGTTGAAGGTGTCTTCTCCCATCTTCTCCCTTCTAGGTCCCTTCCAACTGCTCAGAAGGTGAAGAGAATCCAACCAGCTAAGGTGAGGAGAATCCGATAGAACAAGCCAGGACACCCAGACTGGATGATCCTGAATCTAAGAGGTGGTTGGAAGATGTTGGAATCCTGTAGAGTCAATCACATATCCCAGACATTCCATGTATTCCAGACCTTGATTTCGTGACCTTTTTGGAGTCTCTAAGTAACCTCTTTTAGGACTAAGGGACCTCGTTCTGAGACATCAAAAGGCCGCATTGAAGGTCGCCTGGAATACCTTGATATAGCTATTTTGATGCCCTTTTCAACCATCCCAATGTCACTCAAATCTGCCAGTTCCATGGGTCATGTTTAGGTATGAATACCCCATGCAACACCGCGCCGAACGCGAGACTCGAACACGACCGACGCCACAGACGGGATCCTGGGTCAGAAAGATTGTTCAATCAAGAGAACTGGGTGTGGGGAGACTGGCACCAGGATCCTGGCTCTGGGCACGACCTGGCACGACCTGAGACGAAACAACTGGTCGATAGATGGTGGACGCATTCCCGCGCTTCTGGGTGATTGATCCATATATACCTATCCACATCCATCCGGAGAGAAAAATCCACAAACCGGTCTCCTGACAGGCTCTTGGACCTAAAGGATGCTTCATTGCTGGGGGGGGCCCAGAGAGAGGTCTCAAACAAAGCTTCCAGCCAACGGGTGAATTCAGGGCCTCAGGTGGGCCTCCAGGGCCTCCGATGGCCAATGGATTGCATGACCGTGCCATATTGTTGGAGTGTTTTTTTTCTTTTCGTGATGCCAACACGAAAGACCACCGCACGGATTTGTTCTTTTCCTCACAGCAAAGTCGTCGACTGCCCGGGAAATGCTGCTCGCTTCGGGGAACCGGGCCAGGTTGTGTGAGGAGTCCTCCCCCCAAAACAGCTGCTAAGATAAAGATGTCCAACTTCCAGGCTCATCTCCTTAGCTGCTTCGGTGATACTTCCGTCAAACGTGTATGTCCTTCTTCCATGTTCTTCCAAACGGCTTCGTTTGGCAAAGACCTGGCTTTCCTGCGTTTTGTTGTACATTTCTTGGAGCCTATCGTAGGACGATCTGTTTTCCAAAATGGTCTCCAAGCCATGAAGGGCTCAAACCCGCTTCTGGCAGCTTTTGCTGGAGTCAGGTTTCGCAGTCGAGTCTTCCTCATCAAGGGCACTGCCACACTGACGCCTTTGGCGAAGTCCCGTGTGTTCGAGAAGTGGACCTGGGTGAAACAGGGCGGCTCTCGGAAGGCATGTCCAGTACATTGTAGTCAGTACATACTCTTGGTAGCAGCAACAATTATACTCTTCGTGTGCTGTCTTGCAGGATTTTGGCAACCAATCCAATCAATGCCTTCACATTAACCTGACAAACATCTCAACAACTGTCCACTCTTCTGTTAATGACCCTCCCACAAGGCTATGAGTCTTGACACAGATGACAAGATCCCACCACTCAAGGATGACCCTCCGCAGGGGAAGGTGTGGGGTTCAAGCAGAGCGGCACCAACAGCCTCAACAGCCAATGCCAATGCCCCAACACCCTATGGTCTTTTTCCTGGTGTTGCTTAAGAATTGTTCTTTTCCCTATGAGCCTATGAGTGAATCCCCTTCTGGTGATGTGTTTATGTTTTTGATTTTTTTTGCCAGGCGTTTCAACACTACGACTGCCGCCGGGCCTGTGCGGCTCATGCCAAGCGTGTGGTCGTGGTGCACTCAGTGTGTCCACTCCCAGAGTTACCTACGAAGATGAAGGGATGAAGGGATATGTAGGACAGGACTCAGGACGCCTTGTTGCACCGGGCTGCATGTAGTAGCGTCTTCTTGTCAGCCACAACACGTGGAGAAGGAACTGAGAACCTGTCTTCCAATCCATGATACTGACTAGTAACTAGTACTGATGGGGGTGGTTATCATGTCTTTGTCTCTGTGGATGTTTGAAACCAATCATCGACCCACTTTGTGCGCTTTGAAAGTTCATGCCATACGACCCCCATTCTCCAAGAGCTTGTGCCACTGGTTCGGCGAAGTCTTGTGCCGGTCGAGAAAACATGCGCAGGTTGCAGGAGGGCTCAGAACTATAATGATTGGAACAATTTGGAACAGGTTTATATTTATATATATACCAGGAGTCACAAAGGGGTGGTGTTTAGTCCCTAAGTGAGTGGATAATGGGCACCCCTACCCTCCATTAAGCACCCCTTTGTGACTGCTGGTATATGCATAACTTCAGGTTAGAGGTGGAGAATCGGTCAAGAATGTCCATGGTCACCGCACCAATGACCGGACTCAGGTTGTCAAGCTCTTTCGAAGTGGTTCTTTGCAGGTTCCACCGTTCTTTCCACCGTTCTTTCCTGGTTCAGCCCTTTAGGCTCATCTAGCTCGGACTGACGTTCGACTTGGATTCGCCCCCCCAATCTCCACCGTCGTGGATCATGGAGTCTCAGGCTCAGGCGGCCCTGTTTTCTGTTTTGGACGTCGGCCGGTGTTTCTTTTCGGCCCAGTCATGCGGGACGTGTTGATGAACAACTCCAGCCGGCGATCCAGATCGACCGGTCTGCCACTCATCATTCAGTTCGGAATTGCTCGAGCAACAAAGCAGAGGAATTCGTTCGGCAACGAAACGGCCAAGCACGCGTTGCTCGCGTGGGCCTCCTATTCGGAGACACCCCACACTCAGTCACGACAGAAATCCTGCACGTGGTGAGCCAATCAAAAAAACCGAAAGGTTTTTGGAAGATGTGGCATCTAGAAACTAACCCTGTGCAGTTCCATGACAGTTACGTATAGAATTCGCTTCGGTTTAACCAAGAGCGGCCTCCCAGACTCCTCAAAATGCAGGTGCGCATTATTATTTTTTTTACAGCACCGTGCATTCGTAAGCTTGCGCTTGGTCCCACCAGGCGTGCGGAGTCTTGAAGTATACGAAGATCTGCCGACATTGGCGAAGCGGTAGCTGCTTCCGCGGATCCAGCTGCGACTTCGCACACTCTGACTCTCACAGAGGTGAGAAGAAACATGGGAGGTGTGGGTCCTTTCAGAAAGAAACTGAACCCATGTAGGTTTCCCCTATGAAATGGGGGGGGGTCATGGTACTCCAGAAAACGGTTCATGCCTACCCCTGTGGGGGGGGTTAGGTCTTGATTTTATAGAGAAAATCTTAGAGAACATCTGGTTTGCAGAGAAAATCTGCGATGGAAAGAAAAAGGTAGTCTTTGAACGCAGGAAACAGATAATCAGACATCACAAACTGAGGCGGTGGGGCCCAGCCATTTTATATAAGTGGTCGGGTAGGTCCCTCCCCCACAGTATACTACATGGAGGGTCACACCTCAACACTTTATATCTATAAAATGGCCCTGAATATATCTCACTGATCTCACTGCAAATGGAGAACATTGGGGCTCTATTGATGAGCATTTTGGTAAATCTATGGTAAATCTATAATGTATAAAGCATACAAATAGATTTTAAATCTATATATATATATATATTTGATGTTAGCCACGGTTGTAAATGGTGATGTCTATTCTCATGAACCTTTCATGGTTCTTCGCTTCCCAGCCCTACTCCGCTCACTCACATCCCTTCACAAACGCCGCGGATCGGACCGGACCCTCGGACGTCCCGTCTCCTTCCTCGGACGACCCGAGGACCTGGAATTGCGCGAGGCTCCCAACTTGGTGCCTGGGCGAAGCTCAAAACGACGGGACGTGAGAGAGAAGACTTTTGGAAGACTTCGTTCAGGGGGATACACGGACCTTATAATTCTCTATTAAGACACCTGAACGAGGTCAGAGAAGCGACCATCTTGGAATCCCGACATGAAGAGTTTTATGCTTCGGTGGCTCCCTGACACCATGGTGTTGTGTCTGTTTCCATATCTTGACTTGCATGTTGATGAATAACAACACCTCCTCGTCTCCTGCGAGGGGGGCACTAGTATCTATCCCCAAGGTTTCACATTGTGAACTAATCCTGGGACTTCACGAGGAAATCCTTCTTCGTCGTTCTCCGAACTTCCTCCCCACTTCGACCTGGTGCCAGTGCCATTCGAAGGAAACACATATAGAAAACGCTCATTGAAGTGAAGATCTCTACCAGAATCTCCCATTATCTGAAATCCCAATATTCCAACCACCTTTTGGTATCCAAAGCATACCATTGAAGACTTGAACAATCTTGAACATATATTAGAATGTCATTCCATATGACTCCATGTCCTGAAAGAAGAGTATTTGTACAAAACACAACACAAACAAAACCGGGACCTTCAAACACGGCCTCTTGACCCAGGTGAAGACGCAGCTTTGCTTCCGTTTCAACTCGAAGGGTCGGTGCAACAAGGGCTCCTTCTGCCGCTTCGCGCATGGCCTGGACGAACTGCAGCATGTTGCCGCGGCGCCCAACGGGCGTCTCAACGAGGAGCCGATGAAGGTGCGCTCCGAGGAGTCAAAGGAAAAAGATGGGGGGTCCACTTCTCTGAAACCCTCAGACTTGGACACTTGTGCCATCTACTTTGGGTTTGTCTTATTACTTGTCACAGGGGTTCAAACAGAACTCCACTAAAATATAGAGATTCATCATCCGAATAGGGTCCTGGTTTAGTGGGATAGAGCCAACATCTACCCGGTATCTACCCCTACAAGTCCAAAGATCCAGCCCCAAACCTGTTTTTTTTCTCTCCTAAAGTAGTGGTTTTCGTCATGACCAACTCCAGTATTTCATGAGGTCAAACTGACCTGTAGCCACTAATCCACTCGAACCATCCAGGTCCGCCTACCCGAGCTCCCTTTGCGGCCACCGCCGGGCTTGGAGCATTTGACACTGGGAGCCAGTCACCGTACAGCTGGGAGGTGATGTGTTGTGTGTGTGTTTTTTTTCTATTGGGGTTGTTAGCATTCTACCAAAGAACTCGAGACACATACTAGTATGTGACACAAATACAGTCTGAGTCGTTTGTTTGGTTGACGTCATTCATCCTTTGATTGCTTCTGAAATGTTTTTTGGAGCAGTTCATAATGTCAGGTTGGTGTACTGTAAGTATGTACAGATGTGACACGACCGAAGCCTGCCAGGCCATCGAAGACTTGGTAGTTTTGTGCGGATTCCCATTGATCAACCCAAGTCAACATTTCTGTGGCAGGATGTTTCTTCAGGTGAAGCTGGATTCTTAGAGTCTATGTCTACAGTACAGGGCTCTTGAATAGCAGCTAGCTGGCAGGGGAAAAAATCCCGACGCATGCACGCACTCATGGACTCATGGCGCACCCAGGAAGCCGTTGAGCCTTTTGGACTTGGAGACTTTGAGCTGCGTTTCCACCTCTGAGAGCACCCCCAGGGAAGAGCCAAGTGGCAAGGAGGCAGACAGGGCAGGATGGGGTGGCTTGAGACTCGCATTTCATCTGCTCAGGGAACCCAAGTTAAAACGCTTCTGAACCTTAGTCATACCTGCAGTACATGGTACATGGCAGACATGGGTAGCCAAGGGTTTGGAAGGTTTGGTGAACCATAGGCAGATCTAAGCAGGCATTGGAACCGTGACTGCGGGTCTCCCCCCGGGGAGGTTCAGAGACAGGTCCGATTTATCCGATAATTTGTGTTTGGTTTTGTATACACATCACTTGATTTATCTCCCCAGGTTTTGACACCCCTTAGGGGCCTAGATGGGCCGGGTCTCTTGGGTCTCCTGGGTCTGGGTGTCGTGCCCCAGCCACTGTGTTCCTTCCTGCTTCGGCCGACCGGTGCTCAAACCCCCAACCCTCAAAGACTGGCTGCCATGCTGCTTGCAGCGTCGGCGGCTGGTGTGGGGCGAAAAAACTGAATAAAAGGACACCTGCAACGACCCCAATGGCCTCATGGGTGTTGTTGAGTCATTTACGCTGCCTTTTTGACTGCCTTGCGACATGAGAGGTCGTCGTTTTTTATCCGTGAGAGGTCGTTATTCTTGGAACACCTCCGCGAGAAAGAACACCTTCGACGTTTCAGAAACCTTTCATAGCACACACCCACAGCCCTGACACTCAATAAAAGGGGTTGAAGAATGCATCGCCTGCAAACATGTACTCAAAGGATACACTATACCCTCATGAGGGGTCACTGTAAAGAAGACAAAGAAGGACCTTGCGATGGGATGTGACGGAATGAGCGAACTTCATTGGTCTTTCTTGGAATGAACTCCCTGTCTAAGAGGACGCCAATAGTGGATTGCCAATGATCCAATCATTCTGAGATGTGGTGAAGTCTCTTGAGATCTCGTGAGATCTTTGCCGGGGAGGAGTGCTTTAACCCCCTGGTGTTTTACAGCACTTGGTTGGGAGGAGTCCCCGCAATCCGTGGAGGTGACACGGTGGATTCCTTCCAACCATTTTTAGGTGACACGACTGGTGGACAGATTGACATGTATAGTGCAAGGATGCACCTTTCACACGGATTGTGTGAAACCTTTAGAGAATTCACAAGAAGAAGCCGATTTGTACAGCTTCCAAGAACGTCCCTCAGTTCTGATCCGGCTCCGGTGGAGGGAACCGTCCGAAAAAAAAGGAACCGTCTCTGACCCAAGCAGTGGGGCCGACCCAACCGGCGCTTTGGGAAGGTTTCGCTGAAAATCTTTAGAGAGGGGTCAGGATAGATTACTGCTGTTTTGAGACTGGTCTCCCTTTAAACACCAGCTGGACGCTGGGCGGATCTACTGGAGGAGTTTTGCTCCAAAGAGCTGCACATGCCCTGCAGCTTGCCGGCGAAGAAGCCTCGCGCTGGTG